TCTCTTAGAGTGGATCCCAGTAGACAGTCGTTTGTGCGCTGTCCGACTGAACGGAACAGTAAGAATCCGGAAAGATAGGGACACTCGTCGTTGCCTCTTCGTCTTCTCTGCCTATTCTCCCACTGACTGCAGCTCAGATGATGTAAAAGATGAGTTTTACAGAAAGCTTTCCGATCTTCTCCGAAAAGCTAAGCGCTCGGATGTAGTAATAGTGGCCGGTGACTTTAATGCTCAAGTAGGTAAACTAAGCGATAGGGAAAGACACCTAGGTGGATCTTATGGTGTCGTGGCTCAAAGAACAGATAATAGCGACCGTCTGTTGCAGCTGTGCTCAGATAACCGCCTGTTCCTTGCAAATACTAACTTTAAGCATAAGGAAAAACATCTTTTAACATGGCGACCTCCTAATTCGTCCCAACGTTGGACCCAAATAGATCACATCGCTATCAGCCACCGATGGAGGGGCTCGATAGAAGACTGTCGCTCATTCTGGAGCACATGCCTAGATTCAGATCATGCTCTAGTGTGAGCGCGTATTTGCTTGCTTCTTACTGGACGTAGGAAAGATCCTGCAAGGAAACCTCTTAGGGGCCTACTTAATGATGGAAAAGGCAGCGGCAATAGGTAATAGCAGACAATTGTTCAGACTCCTTAAGGAAACCGGAATTAGGAACCCGACCGTTAGCGAAACAATCTCAGAGAAAGATGGACATATTATTCATTCTCAATTCCGGAGATTGGATCGATGGGCAGAACACTTTAGGGATCAGTTCAACTGGCCTTCAGCCACACTTCGGTTTCCCACGATCTCTAGTCAACCTGAATGGCAAGTTAATGTAGGTCCTCCGTCGCTTTACGAAGATGAAAAAGCCATAAGAAATCTGAAACGAGGGAGAGCAGCAGGCCCTGACAGGTTTACTCCTGAGATTTTTAAGGATGGTGGTCCAGTATTAGCAATGAGATTAACCGAGGTCTTAGGTAGAATTTGGGAACTGGACGTAATCCCATCTGACTGGTCTCAATCACTGATTGTGCCAGTCTATAAGAAAGGACAAAAGTCCTCTTGTGACAATCACAGAGGAATCAGTTTGACCAATATGGTGTTTGAAATATTAGCTTCAATAATACTTCGACGCCTAATCAAAGCTCGTGAAGAGCAGACTAGAGAAAACAAGGCCGGTTTTCGACCTGGACGTGGTTGTATAGATCAGATATTCACACTACGTCAGGTTCTAGAACACAGACACACATTCAGACGCCTCACAATGGTAGTATTTCTCGACCTTAAGGCGGCATTCGACTCTGTTGATCGTGAGGTTCTATGGCAGTGTTTGTCACTGAAAGGAGTACCAAAGAGGTACATTAACCTTATAAAGGCTCTCTACTCGAACACAACTGGTAGAGTGAGAGCTTATGGCGAACTGTCATCAGAATTGATTACCTCAAGTGGTGTTCGTCAAGGCTGTCCACTCCCCCCCATTCTTGTTCAACTTTGTGGTCGACGTACTTTTAGAGATAACACTCTCCTCATCTAAATTTCCAGGGGTTGAACTTGTACCGAGAGGTTCACTTATTGACTTAGAATATACAGACGACATAGTTTTATTTGGTGAAGACGCTGACAAAATGCAGAGTCTTCTGACCACTCTAAGCAACAATGCAAGCATGTTCGGGATGCGATTCTCCCCCTCGAAATGCAAAATGTTGCTTCAGGATTGGGTTGCATTGACACCCGAACTAATGATAGGGAGTGAAGTAATTGAGCGTGTCGATCGCTTCACTTATCTTGGAAGTCTCATCAGTCCTTGTGGTCTGGTGTGCGACGAAATCTCAGCACGGATACAGAAGGCTCGACTAGCTTTTACCAACTTGCGTCATTTATGGCGTAGGCGAGATATCTGTCTATCAACCAAAGGACGTGTTTACTGCGCAGTTCGTTCCGTCCTACTTTATGGCTGTGAAACATGGCCAGTAAGAGTAGAGGATATTCGTAGGTTACTAGTATTCAACCAAATGTGTTTTCGAAGCATTGCTCGTATATCATGGGACCATCGAGTAAGTAATGCAGTTGTTAGGAAACGAGTACTAGGTAAGGATGGCAAATCAATTGATGACGTAGTGAAACTTCATCAGTTGAGATGGCTGGGACACGTGTTACGTATGCCCAACTACCGACTGCCTCGACGTGCTATGTCCAGTGGTATAGGAGTAGGTTGGAAGAAAGCTAGGGGCGGCCAGACCAAAACATGGCACAAGTCCATGAAGTCACTGACAAGTGAACTGAGTCATGTTGGTAGGTGTAGACTACCTGGTTGGGATCCGTGTGATAATAGCAACCAATGGTTAGAGACCCTGAATGACATGGCTCAAAATCGTTTGCAATGGTGTCCGCAGGTGCATCCACTCTCTGTGTTCTCCCAAATTCTAATCTTCTGAATTCTTCATGTCCCTTTTTTCCTCTTTCCAAATTTCTTTCACCGGATTATACTCTTTAAATAACATCTCCAAACACTAATCTTCCCGATTACTGCTTATACTCTTATTACCTCTACCACTACAGGATTTGAATCGACCACTGCATCTCTGTGCTAATGTGTTGTGGCAACTCGAACTGATGTACGTACGTACGAAGTTCTACGTTGTTACTGACTGACTGAGTGTGCTTGCCATTTGAGTAGTTGCGAATGTTGTTGATTATTAACAGTACACTGTCCTAACAACTGGTGTTCTAGCTTTTAAATATTGTTGAGTAAATTCATAATACTACTAGAAGAAACGGTCTAATTAAATACTCAGCCGACAGGATTTCACCTATTAGAGTTAAACATAGGCGAAGTTAGCTTCTGAAGTGTTATTCACAAATGAACTGTTCTATGTTAATTGGTGTGGACTGTTTAGTTGGAATCCACGTGATCATCGTAACTAGTGGTTAGAAACTTTGACGTAGGTCAAGATTGTTTGCTATAATACAGGTGCATCCATTTCTTCTCTTCCACTGAAATGTAAGCTTCTGAATTCTTTTGATATTTTCTTGAATCGTATCTTCTATCTTTAATATTTTTTATTACCACTGATACTGTTACTATCTCCAACTTCCCCAGGTGGATCGGTCCTCCATATCTACCAACTCGGTTAAAGCGCCAGACATTCGCTTTTCGTCTTCTCGATTTCGTAAACTAGACATCCGCCATGAAAAGACAGTGAGTGGGACTTCACTGGCAGTGTTTTTATGCACGTCGAGTCTAATCATCAGGGTTATCTAGAGGAAAGACATGTGATTTACAGGAAATTGTGTTTCATTCTATCCACATAATGATAACCAGATTAATCCAATGTATCTCTTTAAATATATTTCCTCATGATATCATCATTCGATTAAATACATATATACATGCAACCTGGTTTAAATTGTGAATGATTATCTGCAAGATCAGTTCATTAAATATTGCACGTGCCTCTCTTTGGGAATATACCAAAAACTAGGATATATCCTTCTGAGTTGCACAGTAATTAGTTGTAAGCCATTCATAAAAGATGCGCATGCGGATAAGCCAGACCATTTGGTGTACAAAGTAACCAACAGGCGAACTCTTAGATGTTAGACAAGCTTATGAGCCTAGTTACTACATAGATCCTCCCAACCTACTCCTACAATAACGCAATGTTTTGGAGGTGTTTCCCTACATACAAATGCAAAATATTGCTTCATGACTGGTTTGTAACAACGCCTACAATCACAATAAAGAGTAAATTAGTTGAGTCAGCCGATCAAATTTTATCAGCTCTAGCAGGTTGGTGTTTGGGAAAATCACGTCACAGATTTAGGGCTCGGATGGTCTTCCCCGACTCAAGTCACCAGTGGTATAGGCGAGATGTGTCTTGAGCAAATGACCAGTTTACCAAGAAGCAGACAGTGACATTTTGCTTCGTGGACATGGAATACGGCATTTGAAAGACGATATCCGTAGGTCATTAGTATTTGGTCACAGATGCATTCGAAGCATTGTACACGCGTGTACTACTAAGCGTTACCCATGTTGGACGCCGGGCTCCAGATAGAGATGGGCAAATCGGTTGACGAGATATCAAACTTGCATCTACTTCGACCATTGGGCAAGCCCAACTATCGCCTGCATTGACGTGAGACGTTTGCTGCTACTGGATTGAATCGGATGAGAGCGATGGGACCAAACTAGGATGCAGGGTCAGTCCATGAATTTATTGATTGTTAACATGATGCACATCGGAAGAGTTCGTGGGATCACCGAGACTATGGGGTGAAAATGGCTTAGAATCGACCACAATGGGACAAATGAATTCACTAAGACCCTGAGTTTTGTGATCCGTTGATTTCTAGTCTGCGAGTTGGCTCTTTCTTGAATTATACTGTCTGTATCTAATCTTTTCTACGAATACGGATGTTTCTGATCCTACTACTGCAGCATCTAGCTCTGCTAGTTCAATGTGGTAACTTGGACCGATGAACGTGCGCCGAGTTCCACGTTGCTCATGACTGTGTTGAAGGGGAACAAACTAAAAACATTAGTGATGGTAAGTCGACCGGTGAGGTTGTAAGCGTTACCAATTTATACAGTTGAAAGGTTACCGACCCCGCCTTTGTCGCCGTTTATCTCGAATCACAGAACTAACGCAGACATGCTAGAGGAAAGAGACTAAGCCAAAAAATATAAGTTCTTGACGTTATTAACTACTGCTTCTGACAGAGTGAGGTATAAGTAAACGTTCTAGTTGGTCAGTCGTAAGTAACATAACCTGGTACATGAGTGTATTGATTAATGGTCAGTCATAGTCGTGTTCAATCGTATCTAAGCTTAGTCATTACACATTCGTCATTGTTTCGAATTTATTCATCCCCAAGAATCTACGACCGATGAACATATATGGATTTTGTCTACAATGCAAACAAACACTATAAAACCGCGTGGGAGCATAAAGAAAACGATACATCTAAAAAATTTTATTCATATACCAAAGTAGAACTAGATTTTGTTAAAAGAAGCTATATCAACTGACTGCACAAATTCTTCAAACTTCGTTATTTCTTCTTCTAACATATCAGTTCCGACCTGAAAAAGAGACATAGGCAATATTCTACTTTAGAGACTTAAGAATTCTGAGAATACAATTTCAATTGATCTTATTGATTAAATAAATGCTCTTGACAAACATTTGACTGAGAATCCATACCTTATCATCTTCAATAACACATGCAATTTGGAGCTTCTTAATCCCATAAGCCAAAGGAACAAGTTTGGACGAACCCCATAACAGCCCATCGGCTTGAATACTACGGACAGCCTTTTCCATCTCCGCCATATCAGTTTCGTCGCCCCACGGTTTTACATCAAAGACAACCATAGACTTTGCTGCAGGAATATCCTTCTTTGCTTTTTTCGCTTCGTAAATAGCCTGGCGCTCACTTCTTAGTTTTTCATATTCTTCATCATCATCATCATCAGAGCCAAATAAATCGAGCTCGTCACTCGCGGCAGGCGATGTACATTTAGCTAAAAAAGAAAGAAATGCAATTTAAACCATAGAACTCTTGACTACCTGGTTCAGGATTGGCGGATTCCTGTGGAGCAGGAAATGTTTTTTGTTCCGCACCAAAAGAGTCAATATGTTTGTACCAGCGTAAAATATTGCCAAAATCTGATGACGGTGACTTCCCAAGGGCTATGAAAGTTGAGACATCCGCTTGAGTAGGCTGAAACCTACAAAAAATATCATTATAAAATGGATTATAAAGCGTGTTTGCTAATAATAATTTCGACACTAGCTATACTAACAGACCCAAATATTAACCCAATTATTCATAGGACTGTTATACCAGGCAGTAATCTAGAGTTTTTAACAACACTGTCAAACATATACAAATGAACTGAGTTCATTTATTGAAAATTTAGTGGACCAATACATTCCAATTTGGTTCATTGACAATAAAAAGTTAGGTAAAAAGTGGACACTGAAAAGAAACGTCTGCATGCCAAATCGGATGGACTCTACAACAACGTTTCCTATGTGGTGCTACTACATCATTTAGCTGCTGAGGAAAAAAACTAGATGATGCGCTACTTTGAGAACTTTACCGTAAAAGGTTGTTGCTGTAGCTTGTAAAGATATCATTAATAATTATTGGACGAACTGAACCCTAACCTTTGTATTTTTGGTGGATATTAGGATAGGTTATGATTTGAGACTAAACGAAAGTACTACATGATTGGTCTGAAGTGTTGTTTTGCAGAAGAAATTAGTTTCAGCCAGACTCAGAAATGACAAGCATTCTACATAATTTAAATTCGACGAAACTTTAATTTGAGGACTTTAAAGCAATACTAAGATATCTTTGAGCTTTCACAAAAATACGGAAAAAATTTTCTTTACCACGGACTAACAGCACTCACAATCCCATATTTTCTCCACATAGATGAACTCAAGGTTTGCAGTCTTAATTCAGATCGATTTGTTCATGAACGACGGTCAGCCCGTGACTTTCAGGATGTACCTGGAATGCGAATTGGCCAACACTTAGTGCAATAAAATAGAGTAAACCCATAGCAAAATGGTTTACGGAGCATATATGTGATGGTAAAAAAAGGCAAACTCAAGACTCAGGCTATACAGGAGTTTGAAATACCAATAAACATTTACGTTCATCCATTAGACGAGTTTATTACACCACCGTACATACGCAAAATTCACACTAACCCTGATATATAACTTCTGGTAAGCAGAAAACCATCTAGCTTCTTCAGGGCCGAAGCGGACTTCAAGTCACCAAAATCGATCATCCCGTAGCGTGTGAAAATTCGAGCCTGGCGCTGTGAAGAGAACTGTCGGTAGAGAATAAAAACACAAGTTGATCAAACATTTTAGTAACTTTTGCAACATCCGAAACGCCACTGTATTCAACGATGTAAGGCGACTAGTAGCACACCAACTTACATTCTAAGATCTGTTATCACTCAAGGAGCAAAGGCTGATGACCTCGATTCTATAACCTACTCTCTTTAAGACTCTCATTGTTTTTAAGTGCTACTCATTCCCCATGTGTCCACCTCCGATTCACAAAGCAATGTGTTTTGGCCTGCCTCTATTCTTTTTGTCTTGGGCATACTAAGCATAGGTTTGGTTCGTTGTACGGCCTGATGATTTCCGCAATATGTACCATCCATTAACAGCATATTTTCCAAATTTTCTTTTCAAGTGGAGCCCGGTTTGTTATATGCCACAGTAAATTGTGGCTGTTTGTGCTCATGCGCCTGAACTGGAGGACCTTGTGTACATCTTCGCGCAAACCTTTTTGAAGATGGTTTTTGTAGTTCTGAAATTATCAGACTCGTACAATAGAACTTTCCTGACATTCATTTTTAAGATTTCGACTTTGATGTCTGCTGGAAGTATTTTTTTGGTCCATAACTGTGACTCGTAGTAATCTTTATTTAAGATATAAAACCCAGTATCAATTTAGATTATGAACCATCACCTGTTAGAGTTTTTTAAGGCAGAGAAATAAGTTACACCTGGAGAGAGATGGGATGCTAATACTCAATTTTAAAACACGAATTTCAGCGAAAGGATCTCTTTTCAACGAATTTATTATCAAGCTGTACAATTGTATATATATGAAAATTTTATTTTTGTAAAAGTACTAATTCCGTGAGGAAATATGAACACAGTTAATAAAAAGGTTATAATACTAGATTACGTAATATGAATAATAACAATAAATTTAGTAAATATAATAAGATGATTAAAATGCTTTTGTCATAATAATTAAAGGTCATAGAGGTGTAAAAAATAAATAAGGTGATATGGTGAGTATTTACGAATAAAACAATGGGAATATAAGACATAAGTAAAGGGGGGAATGCAGTAATAATAATAATAATAATAACAATAATAATAATAATAATAATAATAATAATAATAATAATAATTGGATAATCAAAATGCTTAAGGCCAAGGTGACGATAACGATAAGACGTACTTCTTTTGTACGCATAGTTCTGGTTTAAGCTCCTGAATGGTAAGAGCTTCGGCTATTTTTAAAAGTTGGATGCGAAGGAATCTGGGTAGATTTGAACGAATCATATAAACAACTCAATTTTACACCTACTGATATGAGAGACCTAAGAACATTGCCTAAAACGGAAGCAATTTGCTACCTAATGATCATACTAAATGGTCCGGAAAAATCATAGGGCCTTCTTTCAGAAAACGCTGCTAGCTGAGGTCAGTAGCAATTTACGTGACAGGCTGAGGAAGTTTTAGTCATATAGCGACAAGGTATTTGGGAGCAAGTTCAACCTATTCTCAAAGAACTTGGTAAAGACTCCTTAAATGGTTGCTCCAGATATGCCTTATAAATTACTCCCAGGTGTTTTGACACATTTTGTTCGTTATAGTCGTATTTATGGGAGATATTAAAAATAAATAGTGGAGATCGTGTACATATGTAAACTTCAGTTTTGGCGGGAAAAAGTTTCTGTGGCAAGTTACTGTATTAAGCGGTGTGCACTATATTGTAAGATGGATCTATCAGAAAGAAGTTTTCGTGACAAATATCATCTGAAATCTCTTTTTGCCGTAGAAATTCGTTATTTTGGAGATCCTCTAAGAGGTTGAAGTTGAATCGCGTTGCTTTCAGTTTTCTAAATACGATTCTGTGAATTTGATGAATCTTCAAAGTAACAACAAGACCGACAGATGACATGGAGTCGCAGACGTATAAATTTGTCTGATCATTGTGTTCAACATTGTTTAATTTATTACAGCTTTGCACTACGCTTGCAAACTCACATTTTGTTGTTTCAACATACCGTCTTGAGGAAAAGTCCAGTAGATTGGTTAGTCTCCATTAGTTTATACCTATTAAACTTCGCTGTAAAATTTGTTCGAACGAACTATAAAATCTTGTCTTCATACGACTAATTGGTGTCAGTTTGCAAAACTTTTCGCATTATTGAATAAGTGTTGCCAAAATATCTTAACTAGTAGTACAATAAAAGGCGTGCGCCTATTCTAGTTATCATTAAGAGGTAGATGACTGAGAATTCGAGATCGATCGCAAATGATTCAGGAATCGAAACCTTTGGATTGTTAGTGTTTTCTACACTAGAAAATTTGCAAGAACACAAAACGTTCATGTACTGCGTACCATCTGCTGGTTTATTGTCATGGAGCTGCACATAATTTAACCTATACTTAATTCAGTTTCCACAACATGCGGCCAAGTGAAATTCTTATTTAATGGGACCCAATTCTGGATAATGCAAATAGTTTCTGTTCTCATGGAATGGTAATGAGAAAGAGCTGAGGAACTAATGATACCTAGTGATCACGACTGCCAGTATATGAGTACCATCATAGTTAACGTTCGATATGTATGTGAATATATAAATTTCCAGTTCACTGAGTTTCATTATTGCCTTCCATACTGGCGGTGTTAACAGTCTTTGAATTAGGAGTAAACCGTTTTCTATATGAAGCTCTCGAATGTTTACATTTTATTGTTCATGTCCAAACTTTTAGTCGGTCTCATGTAGTTCGGAGTAATTCGTGTGCTAGACCAATGAATTCTGTGAAATGATACACCTTACTAATCAACACGTTTTTATTAACTGTGTTCACATTTCCTCACGGATTTAGTACTTTTACAAAAACAAAATTTGTTATATATTTGTCTTGCCAGGGAGGATGGGGTTCCGAATTTGCTCAAATTGCCTAATAGATTCGTTGCAACAATGGGTATGGAGATCTCTGGACAATGTAGGTTGTAGAATCGATGTTTGAGGCGTGTGCTACAAGGTTGTTGACAGATTTCATTATGTACGTTACTGTTCATTGCTTTACCCGTATTTGTATAGACTATGATTTTCCTAATGTTCATGAGAACTATCTTTCACCCTTCATTCTGCCTTTTATATCCGTAATTTATTTTAATCTTCACAGAGAAAAACCTAGTTCACCTCTACTTCTGGATATTCGGATTGGATGGCTTTTATGAGAATTCTGCCCTGAAGAATGACTTCGATTTCATCCTTGCCAGGGGTCACATATCATAGTTAGTATATATGTTGCTTATTTATGACCATTTTTAACATTTTTGAAATTTTTAATACAGAAGGTACTTTAAACTAACAATTATACAAGATCACGCCAAACATGTTTTCGAATGTGAGAGACTGTAACTGATATGTCGGGAAAAACCTAAGAATATTAAATCGTAATTTAATCGAGAGATCATTTTGATTTCTTTTTCTGTTCGCATGACAGATACCTTTGTTCAGTTTCCGCATTTTGAGAACCATATAAAGCCAATATTAGCTTAGTATGCAATATCAGCAACGTTGTCTATCACCGGACGTAACATTTTGTGCAAAACACGAGAGACGTCATCGCAATTCTGTTCGTTTAGCTCAAGGCCGCCAGCATATTATACTTTTACCGTCTTTTGCCTCGTCAAGTACTTTCCTCGTTTGGTAAAGCGGCATAAATTAAGGTGGGATTAACACTTACTTAGCCTCCAGCTAGCCGAAATCAAAATTCTATGACAATAAGAAAAGTGTAATGACCTACCGTTATTGCTGGTTCACACAATATATTGCTCTGAAGTATTACCGCATACATTTGAAACCATTGTGAGCTTCGTATATACATATATCGACAATTTCGAACTTCAATTAACGGATAATACCTTCATTTAGTCACATATGATAGAATGTCGTCCGTAGACTTCTTCATTCCAGGGAGCGTCCCTCTGTATGAAAACTCTGACACATCAAAAGGTGTGTGTTGGTGGTTGTTGGAATCCGGTGTGCTGAGAATTCTATATTGTACCAAAATATAATATTGAATAAGGTGACATACTATCCGTATTTATTTTGCTTATCTCAAACACTGCGGGTTTTATTATGGCCACGAATGGACTTTTGATTAAACCTTATTCAAAATGAACCTCTTCCAAATCATCTTATGGAAGAATGATTCGATAAGATCGACTCCTGTCTCAGTTTTGGTTCATCATTGATGTGTGAAGAAATGACAGCAGCTAATTGACATTAATAGACTGACAATCACGATACAAGCCCGAAATTTCACAAATCCCGCTTTCGAAACACATTCTCTGTGTATGAATACAAATCCTCAGTAATGTGAAACCACATTCATCATATCCTTGTTTATGCTGTTTGGACTGAGAGTGCAACATAATGACTTCACCCTGCGAATAGTAGTCCAAACGGCTGTCGGCGCGGAATTTGAAAGTGGTAAGTGTTTTTCACGTGGTTTAGGAATTCTTCGACGTGTTCATTCGTAGGGTGCATTGTACGGAGACTATCATCCTATCTTATATATCAAGTACATTTTACCCCGAAAAAAATTTCCGACGGACACTTTCAAGATAGTATTATTTTTATAGTGGACTTAATTCTTAAATAGATCTGAAATATATTATATACTCATAGACTTTGATCCTTTTGTTAACCCGGTTGAAACCTAAAAACAACTATATACTGAGATATTATATTCAGTTAAACGAGCTCTCTACTCATCCAGTTTCAACTCATGTCCAATAACTCCGGCAAAAGAGAAATTTCGGAAAGACTCTAATTTATGGACAACCTTTGAACGAATCTTAAGTGACCTTGACGAATATCAGCCAATCAGCAAACAGTCAGTATAGAGTAAAAAGATGTTATACAAAGGTTTGCTTACTTACTTACTTACGCCTATTACTCCCAATGGAGCATAGGTCGCAGACCAGCATTCTCCAAACCACCTTGTCCTC